CATTATTTTTGAAATATTTTTGTCTCATTTCCAAACAAATTGTAATGCTTCCTTTGCTCATTTAGTTGTTCTGAATACTAAGATTGACAACTCTTGCTCTAGCTAAGGGCTTGTTTACAAATTACAGAAAGGATTACACATTCACAGAAAAGATTACACATTTATGGAAAGAAGTTAAAACAGAATACAAAGACACATAAAGTGCTGGAGTACCTGAGAAAAGCAAGGGAAGATGGGAAAACAGAATGTGGACTTAAAATGGTGCCTAGAATGATGCCAAAAATAGATACGTTTTTTAAAGATAAGCCATAATTTTAGTTCTGAATGTTCTAGCCATCAAAGCAACAGAGAAGCATAGTCAATTACACAATTAATTACAACCCCTCTGCCCTGGAAAAAAAGGAAAGATGGTTTAGGAATAGGACTATATTTGGAACTTAATGCAAAAGAAAATCTCCCAAAGATAGTCCTAACATAACTTGTGATGACTAAAACAACACAAACACAGATGCTACAGAGTTGATTAATACTTTGCCATGTTTTAATCTAGAGAGGGATCTCTAGAAGGTATCCTGTTTTGAAAATAATATATTTTCCCCTTTGATTATTGGAATTTTCCTTCTTTTTTTTGCTTTTCCTCTTTTTTCATCTTCCTCTCTTTTTTCCTCCTCTGTCCTTTTGTTGTTCTCCCGCTGCGTGATTGGCTATGAATCCTCCCCCAAAGTATTAAGGATACTTAAAAAATCTTAGTCTGTAGATTTTTTTTACTTGCTCTATTTGGGGGGTTTGATATAGATACTGTGCCTTCATTGAAAAAAAGAAAATTGAATGTTTTCTTTCTCTCTTCCACACCCTGTTTAATTAACATTAGGGATATCCACTTCTTGAAGATTTGGTTGACTAGACCTTGAAATCATCTAGGTCTCCCACAGATGGAGGGGGAGGAGGGGTGATTGTGGTGGTGGTGATACAGGTCTTTGACAACATCTGTATTTCTTCCAGATATTTGTCTGTTTAAGTTTCTTTCATTCATGATTAGTTTTGGTAATTTATATTGTCCTAAGGAATCATTCAGTTTTCAAATTTAATTGCTTATATAGCTTTCAATTTGCTTTTTATTTGTATCCTCATTTTAATGTCTTATTTCTTATATATTTGTACTTTTTCTCTTTTTTTCCTTGTTTAGGCTAGCTATTGATTTCTCTGTGTTATTGTTTTAAATAAGATGTTTTATAACTCATTAATTTCTAACTTTATATTCTGCATAGATTTAATGTGTTTTCTTTCTCTAATTTTTTGAGATTGATAATTCATTTATTTTAATTATTTTCATTTATCAAAATAAGTTTTTATTGTTAGGCATTTAACTCAGAACCACTTCCATCTTGTACTCTAGGTGCAAGGGGTATGTGGTGTTTTCATTATCTTTATGTTTTAAAGATACTGCAAGTGTTACTTTGATTTTTCTGAGTTAAGATTCTTTTGAGAGAGGGAAATGTTACGATTTGTAGCTGTAAGGTCTTTGTTTTTCTTTTTTTTCTGGGTTTATTTATTGTTTTCTTATTTCTTATTGTGCTGTGTTCAGTTAATGTCTGTCTGTACTTTGTAGGTTTTGTAATTGGGACTGTTTTTTTGCTAAATATATGCTAAATTTTTACAAATAGTTCATATGGAATTTCATCATTTCAATCAGGATTCTCTTATTAATTAAGTTACTTTGATATTCTTTGTGTTTATTATTGTTAAAAAGAAACAGGTCCAAAATGGAGTCATTTATATTAAGCCCCACAAAAGACTTAATATCTAACCTACTTGCTGTTTTAGCCTTTCCTGGCAATGCAGTTTTAAACCAATCAGTCTGGAAATTCCTGACCAGCACTAGTGAGGTAATCTGCCTGCTCTATCCCCTAAGGAAAGGTGACCTTCCCTGAAAAAATTTTTTCTTTTCTTTTGCTAATAGCTCCCTTGCTCCAATCTCCTTCCTATAAAAACTTTGTTTTGTACAACTCCTCAGTTATCTCCCTGCTTGTTAGGTGGGATGCTACCTGATTCATGAATTGCTTAATAAAGCCAATTACATCTTCAAGTTTACCTGGTTGAATTTTGTTTTTTAACATTATTTTTTCCTATTTATTATATCCTTATATGATAGGTGAACTAAAAGCTCCTACAACCAATGTGTTTTTAGTATTTCTATTTATATCTTATAATTTTTTAAATTTATTATCTTGAAGTTATATTTTTGGTGTAGGTAATTTTTGATGATATTTGGTATTTGTATTTTTGGTGATATTCATGATGTTATATTTTGGTTGAGGTTTGTTATATTTACCATCACAAATATTGTGTGTTGAATTGTGTCCCCCCCAAAAAAAAAGATATGTTGAAGTCCTAACCCTCAGTACTGCCAAAAGTGACCTTGTTTGGAAATAGGGTCTTTGCAGATATGTTTAAGATCATGAGGATGGGCTCTAATTCAGTATGACTGGTGTCCTTGGGAAAAGAAAATTTGGATATATACACAAGCAGAGGAGACATTATGTGAATGCCATGTGAAAATGAAGGCAAAGATCTGGATGCATGTATGAGCCAAGGCACACCAAAGATTGCTAACCAACCAGCAGAAGCTAGGAGAGAGACATGGAACCAGTTCATTCTCACAGCCCTCAGAAGGAATCAACCCTTGACTTCTAGCCACCAGAACCACAAGACAAAAAATTTCTGTTGTTTTCTGTTGGTGTGTGGTACTTTGTTACAGTGAGCCTAGGAAACTAATACAGGTTACTTGGCTTCATTTATTGTTTTTTTGCCCTGAATTCAAATTTATCTGATATTAAAATGTGCTCCCAATTTCTGTTGTCACTTGCCTGGTATACTTTTGACAGTTCCTTTATTTTCAAACTTTAGTGCCTCTTGAATTTTTAAAACATAATTAGACCATGTCAGCTCCATGCTCAAAAAACCCTCAATGACTTCCCTTTGCATTAGAGTAAAATTATTCCATTTGAAAAGCGTACTTCCTTAGTATGAAGTGCAAAGCATTGCATGGTTCTCCTGTCTCTTCTCAGACCTCATTCTGCTCTGCCCTCCGTGACCTCTAGCACAGGAGTCTTATTGTGGTACTTGCAGTAAGCTGAGCTCTTTACTTCCACAAGTCTGTTCTCTCTGTCAGTAACCTTGTTTCCTCTTCAGTGGCTTTATACTTCTGATTCTTCATGTCTTAGCTCAAATCTTAACTTTTCAGAGATTTCTTCTCTGATCACTGTATCTGATGTGATCTAACTCCATTTCCACCGAAACTCTCAAACACATCACTCATAATTCCCTGGTAGCATTGATCACCGTATGAATTTATTTTATTTATATTCATATTTGTCATCTCTACCCCCACTAGAATCTAAGTCCCATGAGACTTAAGACTCTTGTCTGCATTTTCACCATGTCTAGAATGTCGGCTTTGCATGTAGTTGGCAAAGAGTAAGTATCTGTTGAAAGAAGTAAGGGAATTACAAAGAAAGGAAGGATCGATGGATGGAAAGGAAATCTACAAGCCATTTTGTTCTCTTCTCAGCCTTTCATAAAATACTTGCTCGGAACCTCTAACTGAGGAGTGCCTTTCAATGTTAGAGTGTTTATTCTAATCTAAACTCTACTCTGTGCCTCCTGTTGTTCCAGCTACTTAATCATCAGATGTAACAGATTGAAAAAAACAGTTTTTCCATTATTAAAGAAGTAATTTTTATTGGTATGTAATCAGTGGTCATTCCTTCTTCACCCACTTCCCATATGCGATGCTCATATGGTGGATGGTGTAAGTTATCTTCTCCCTCAGCCCAGAGACCTTTAATATGTTATTCCCAATATTATCCTCATACAGTCACACATGATTTGAACATTTGAAGAGATCCTAGCCAAGAAATCCCTGATCTAATCAGGAAGAATCACTAAATTCTTCTCTAGCAGGTCATACTGACAGGCATTTCAGAAAAAGGACCAAAACTAGAAGAAAGAAAAAGGGAGAGGCACATTCCCAGATGATTCAACATTCCCTGTAGATTTTATCAAGAACAATTATATATGTATATATTTCCAAATACATTTTAAAAAGTAATTTTATCTTAATTAAACAACATTAACCAGAACAGAGCAATGTTTTCACCAATTACAAAAAAAGCAAAGGATAATCTCTAGCTCACATATATCTACTTCCACCATATCACCATCTGATGGCAGCATACCCTCAAAATATAGATTCTACTTTTTAATGTTTCAGATCAATTCATTCCTTTATAGGGCATCTGCTATTTCCAGACAATGTGATATAAATATTTCCATGGCCTAGTCTGTTCTCTTAAGGAGCTCACAGTACACTGGAAGAGACAGGCATATACACAGATAATTTTAATAACAGTGTGCAATGAATATTATAGAAGCTTAGAGATGGACTCTTAGCCTAATATGAAGATAAGGTAAGATTTTCCCCTATGAGATTATACCTGAATTGAGTTTTAACATGTGCAAGTTACCTAGATTAAAATAGGTAGTAAAATGATGAATATCATTATACAGAGGCAAAAGAGACTAGTTTGTATATAAGGAAGAAAAGAGGCTATTGGAATCAAAGGAGGAGAAAATTGTACATTTCAGGCCCAATGATTCCCTAAACATCACATTTTTGGGGCACATCTATATGCCGGGCATCCATCTACATACAAAGAAAACAAAATGAACACAATCTTTGTCCTAATAAAGCTTTTCTTCTAGCACATACACTAATGATCAATTGAAACTATAATGCCAAGTAATTATATTCAAATTAAAAACAAGCAGAATATGGATAGGGTAGACACAGGGAGATGGCAGTGGGGAGGCAGTGATATTTTAGATAAGGCCACCAGGGAACACCAGATGTTTACCTAGGTGATAAAATTATATATACGGACTATAATCACACTCATGGCTAAAGTACGTTTGCAAGCTAACAATGAAAATGCACTTACCAACACTTGACCCACAAAGGTCTGTGCTGAAAGCAGCATTTCTATACGATTACGAAATATTCCTTGGAAGTGGAGACTTTTTAAATGTTTACTACGGATGCTCTTTGTCAAGAGTAGTTCCTATAAGGAAGAGAAAAGAAGTGAGAGTGAGCTGGATCCCAGAGAAAGTAATCTGTTTTATGTATGTTGGTAGAGCCTCCTGCTGAGTTATCAGCCAGAAATTACTATACTTTGTCCAACCCAGAAAACCCCAAAATCCCTTATTCAGCATATCATGAAATGAATTTTACTGGGTTTGCATTTTACTCGTCTTTTGCACAGCTTTTTAATTAGGAATTCTGCGGTCACCATGCCTTCTTCACATGCTCTCAGTCCTAGACCCTTCAAACTGACATTATTGTAGTGATCAGGATTGGGAATAGCATGCTTCTTCCTGCTCTGGGAACATCTCTTATCCTTTTCTATCAAGATACATGGACAAAGGAAAAAGATTACAAATTGGTTTTTAGTGATTACTTAAGTATCTGCTCTTTTTTGGGGAAAGAAGGAAAGTTTCAGCAATTTTATGTTGCTTTTAGTTCCTTATCTGGTGACATATCCTGCTGATATAATCCCTCCTCATATTTATAAAGTACCTTTACTTATTATATTTAAATTTTTAGTAATCCTATGAAGTAGACAAAATAAATGTGATTTAAAACCACTATCTACTGCTAAGGAAACTGGGGTATAGAGAAATTACATGACTGGCCCATAAGCAGGGGATAAGAGGCTGGAGTCTGAACTAGCCCCCATATCTATTGATAAGCTACCACCAAGAAAGACACAAGTGAGCTAGAATTCACCACACCATGCTGACTGAGACCCTCTGACTTTTAGAAAAACTCATTATATATGGAGCTAGGGTTTTGAAAAGACTTAATTTTTCTACTCATAATCTCTGAATGGTGAAAGAAAAGTCTCATTAAATAACTATTTGATAATAGAACTCCTATCTTGATCAGTGATTTGCCCTCTAATATCTATGACTCATCATGTGCATTCCTGAGATGTCTAAGACTTGATTTAAAAAAAAATGTTCAGTATAACATTAATGTGGAACACTTCTTTGAATTTCATTATGAAATTAGAGGAGCCTTCTGTGGGAAAACAAATTGACCCTAAGATAAGATATAATAAAATCATACTTATGAATGTAGTAAACATTTTAAAAATGCACATTTAAGGAGAAAACTATGACTCCAAATAATTTTTAAAACATCTTTGACAGTTGTGACATTTTTTGCATTAGGCCAACTTTCCCAAAGGCTTAGAGAAAAAATACAACACTCTCGATTTAATTAAATATAACAAGTTACTGAGAAGTCACTCAGCTCATATCAAATTCTCTCAAGGTTCAAAACCAGAAAAGTAGAGTATTCTGGAGGCTTGGACCCTACTTCTTAACATCTCATAATAGTTGCTTCCTATTAGAAATTAAGATACCTCTGGACAGAAGGGTAGACATGAATTACATCCCAAAGAAGGGAAAAATACTGCAAATGTTTATGGACAAATAGGTTCTCACATTTTTGTAACCACACAAAAATAAATACAATGGAGGGAAAAGATACATTTTCTGGAGCAGAAATCTAAGGAGATTAAACAATTCTAGCAATTCAGTTGTGCATTGGGAAAAAAGAAAAAAAGTAGAAGGCAGATTCTCCATACCCAGTACTCATTTGTGTACTCTATCAGTCTTGTTAAGGAGTAAGTGCTCCTCAGAATTCTTTGCAGTTTTTATGCCACTGCTTAAAGTCGTTACAAAAATTAAGAATAGAGGGGACTCATTTAGCAACAAAATCTATGAACTACTATACTGGGTACATGTTGAATGCAGAAACCTGAATTCCATTTTATGATTATTGCCAATGACCTTAAAAAGTTACCAAGTTATTACAAATTCTGTTATTTTATGTCAATGTTTACCATTAAGAGAAATGTTTTAAGCAACTTTTCAATATTGACTACAACGCACAAGTGAAATGTGTTATGTTATGGAAATTGCTATATCAGTAAAACAAAGTTTGGGAAACAAAAATTGGGAACAAATCACACAGGGCATAATAAAGCTCTGCCTTCGACCACCGGTATTAGAACAGCCATTATACAGCATTTGAGAGTTTTATTTCAGCTCTTAAGCAAAGTCTTATCTAAGATACCATTATTCTCGTCATCATCATTTGCTAGCTGTTACCCCACAGCCCCCACCCTTGCAAAGCTTGTTTGGTTGTGAATAGTGTCTCTGCATTTGTGGCTGGATGGCATGTGAATGTATGCATGGGTTTCCATATGAATATATGTACAACTAGGTGTGTTGTGTTAACATGGTATATAAAAGACAATGTACATGTGTTAAGTACATATGCATCCTGCATGCGTGATTTATGAAAGTAAGGTTGACCTGATGGTGGTCTTTGCCTGCCTCATAGTACCAAGCACAACTATCATTTTAAAATTCAAAATAGAGTCATAGATGTAAATGTTTGTGGAAATTTTTTTTTTTTTTAAGAATAGTGACTCTGTTTCCAGAGCTATCATTCATCATCAGCCACAGCAGACATTCTTTCTCTGAGTGGTGGGAGAGGAGGCCCAGCTCTGTACCTGCTGCCTTTGGAATGGTGTCCTGGGGTCCTGTTTTCTACCCCAGGGGAGGATCAGCCCCTTTATAAGGCACTGGATTAGAGCTGGTTCTATTAGCTCATGAAAACTGAGTGAAGCTTAAATTGTTTTCTAAACCCAGTCACTTGCCAAACCTGTCTCAATCTTCATATAGTAGGATCCAAAATAAGGAAACTGACCAAGAGAATTCCTGTTCCCTTGATGTTTTGCCATTTTTTAATGGTTCTCCAGATTAGTCTGAAAATGAGTAAGATGAGGAGTCCAAGCAAGAAGGTCACAAAGGAAGAGAGAATAAACGCTGCTTGGATCTCACTTGAGCAGGCCATTTTCCCAGATCTTCCCCACTATCACTCTGCGGCTTTGTTTGAAAGATCAGGAGATGGAACTGCTGGGCTTCTGTGATGTCATGATCACATGGTAATGATTCCAGAAATTAGAGTTTAGTGTATCAATGAGTCCTGAGGTCAGGTGTAATAGCGATAAGTGATTCCAGGAACAAGGGTCAGCTAACCACTGCAATGCTGACTCATAGGATGCAAATGAATGAACAGGAAAAGACCAGGTCCACAACGTGGTCTTCAGAAGACAAGAATTCTAGATCTAATTCTTTTACTGACTTTCTTTCTGACTTAGAGGAAATTACAGCCTTCATGGCTATGGTCAATGGTCAATGGGCTATTTGGTTTGTTGCAAACACCTTCATTTTTTTTTTCTTTTCTTTCTTTTTTTTTTTTTTTAATTTTTTTAATTTTTGGTGGAATGGCATCCAGCCATCTGTGTGTCAGTGAATTGATTCTTTACCTGAGCAGATACCACATGCTCAGTAATTGTGGAAGGACAGATGAGAGGAGTACTTCAAGATTTTTGCTTAACTCATCAATAAGAAAGGCACGATAGGGCAGGTATTATAGAAAGTACTTTTACTGGTGTGAACATTGGTCAGTTGTTAAATATTTGAGCCCAGGAATCTGTTCCTCTGATCTCTTCTTTATGGGACTGTCCCCTTTCTTGCTTTTATCCCTGCCCTGTCAGCAAACACTTTGGTCCAGCAGAGGTAAAGTTCAGAATGAGAGCAATTTCTTTTATTTTCTCTGATGTTTTCAAAGGCATAAGAAATGTCATGCCTTTCAGTGCACCCACGTGGCAGGTAAAATGTCAGAGCCTGATGGGGGGCCTAGTCCCCCCAGTTATTGTGAAGATGGCCTGACACAAGGTGATGAGACCCAGGAGAAATGTTGTTGTCCTTTGGAGCCTTCCATGATTCTGCTCTATGTGGCAGACTATTTCTAGAAGAGAATTACAACATTTCCTAGAACTGCTGCCACAGTTATATTTCCTTCTAAGCTGAGCTATAATTTCCACAAAATCTAGTCATTAAGCTAGCATAGGGCAATATTAGGAAGGACTCTGGTCTAGAGTTAGGAGCCCTGAATTCCAGCCCTAGTCTTTCATTTAAGTTGCTTTGTGATGTCTAATAAGTCACTTTACTTTTCACAGTCATTTATTTTATGTTGAAAATAACATAATAACATACTTGATGGAATTACTGTGGGGATTCAATAAGGTAGTGTGATCATATTTTGAAAAGCATAAAACTCAAAACAAGGAAAGATAACCATTAGCTATTTCAGTTCCTTTTCTGAATGGCACTGATTATAAAGCAAAGAGGAAGGGTGGGGGGAGGGAGGGAGGAAGGAAGGAAGGAAGGAAGGGAGGAAAGAAGGAAGAAATTATGTGTTTAGATCACATGCACGCATGAGCATAAGCCCCTATAGCTAGCTATTTGGAAAATAAGATCACAGTTTCCAAGTTAAAGCTTATTTACTTAGTCTGATTAATCTTAAGTAATGGTTAAGCTATCATCATCAATTCAACTTTCTTATTTTCCTAACTTTTGCTATTTAATATTGTCAAAGTACTACCAATTCTTTCCAAGATACCATCTAGGCATCTCTTTCCCCCTTTCCCAGCAATTGTCCTATGAGAACAAAAAGATTCAATTTTAATTAAACAGCCAGGTAGCTTGTCCCTCTAATATATTATGGTCATGGTAATACTAGTTTCTATGGCTGAGTCAAGGAATGTGTGGATTTCTTTCAAAGTCGGTCTTTCCAAATTTGTCTTGAACCTCCAGTGTCTGGGTCATCTGGTTTCCCTGGAACTGTCCCAGCTTCTGGACTGAAAGTCTAACACCCTGAGAAGACCCTTGGTCCTGGGCAGATTGGGGTAGGTGTTCCTCCTTCCCCCCCCTCCACTTCTTCATCTATACAGTGCTGCAGCCGCACTGCCCCATCCTAGCTACGAGGGCATGCAAAGTCTTTTCTTTCTCCAGGCCTTTCTGACACACGGTGCCCTCTGCCTAGAACACACACTTGTGTCTTCAGCAGCCGCTATCTTTTTTTTTTTTTTTAAAGATTTTATTTATTTATTTGAGAGAGAGAATGAGAGAGAGAGAGCACATGAGAGGGGTTAGGGTCAGAGGGAGAAGCAGGCTCCCTGCTGAGCAGGGAGCCCGATGCGGGACTCGATCCCGGGACTCCAGGATCATGACTTGAGCCGAAGGCAGTTGCTTAACCAACTGAGCCACCCAGGCACCCCCAGCAGCCGCTTTCTTCATGTTTCTTTTTCAATGGCCCACCACACTCTCCTGACCATCCTTTAGAAAGGAGGGCTGGTCACAGGCCCCAGGATTCTGTGATGGCCCTTTCCTTCACGGCACTTCATGGCATTTCTTGTAATTACCTTATTTCCTGTTGTCTGGTTTATTTTCTATCTTCCCTCACAAAATGTAAGCTCCACAAGCTTAGGGATACCTGTTTTATTCATTACTGAGTAGCCTGTGTCAAGTAATACACCTGCAACATGCTTGGCAAGTCACCAGAACTTAATAAATATCTGGAGATTGAATGAATAAATCCTAGATCCTTAGAAATATGTTAGGTGAATGAAATACTGACTCTACATGGACTTTAACCCAAGTTATCCACACTTCTCTCCTGCATATTTCCCACCTCTCACTACAAACTATTTTCATGAAGGAAGTGTGCCATCTGCAGTTGTTTATGCACAGGGCATGGTATGTGGTGTGTGTATGTGTGCTCAGAATGTGTGTATACAATGTGTGTGGTTTGTGGTGTGTGTGTGTGCATGTCGTGTGTGCATGTGATGGTGGGAGTGTGTGTGTGGGCGCATGGTGACGTGTGTGTGCTTTTGCGAGCAGTGTGTATGTGTTGAGTGGTGCGGGTGTGTGTGTGTGTGTGTGTGTGTGTGTGTGTGTGTAGGGGAAAGGGCATACGACTTGGATCAAGTGCCATTCAAAGTGTTACTATCTTTGCTAACAGGTTCAAATTTGGTAACTTTTCTCAGAGTTACTGAGTTATTGTGGCATGGTAGAAGTGTGTGATGAAGGAAAAGCTGCCATTTGTCACTTGGTAGCAATTCAGTATTCAGAACTAGAGAGACAATTTGAAACAACATTACCTTTTACAATAACTGAGAAAGGACTCCCCTTGTACTAGATAATTTAAAGAAAAGAAAAAATTCACTATTCTGTTGGCTACCTACGATCAGCCAGAATCTTCTGTGTGTGTGTGTGTTTGTGTGTGTATTAAGCAAGTACTATGTGCCAGGCACAATGGAAGCACAATGGTCAACAAAAGAAACCTAGTTCATTCCCTCACAGGGCATACAGTTAACTGAGGAAGATGTTTACAATTAGAAACTAGGAAAAGTGTTTGAGGGAAAAAAACAGGTGGTGGAAGGAGGGACCTAATCGAGGTGAGGAGGCCAGAAGCTGCCTCAAGCCCGTCATGTGTGAAACTGAGGGCTGAAGCATGACATGCTACCTCAGTCAGATCCTCCAGTGGGTGTGGAGAGGCCAGGAACAAGCACTGCGCCCACCGTTAGGCAGAGGTGCCATCTTGGGCAAGGTTGGGAAGGATGGCACTTCTGAAGAGAGTGGTTGCATGCACAGTAATGACCCAAGAGAAGGCTGGCTGCATATGAAGGGGACCAGATCACGCAAGGCCTTGTATTCAGGTTACGATTAAAAATACACACAGACCAACAAAAATTCATCCCAAGAACAAGAGGAAACATTTGAAAGCTTTCAGAGAAGGACGTTAAGTGATTGAATCCCAGTTGTAAAGGGATTATCCTGACTTACAGAGAAGACACCACAGCAGGTGAGATGTGGTGGCTGGTGGAGATACGCGGGCAGGTGGGAGTGACGTCCAGCAGGTAACATCTGCTCCCCTGCATGAGGGACATGAGGGAGAGGACTGGTCAAAGCTACCCTGCTTTTCCAGCTGGTACTTCTGGGGGTTTCTTGGAAGCATTCACTGCTGTGTCTTTAAAACTCCACCTAAGAGGGACGCCTGGGTGGCTCAGTCAGTTAAGCATCTGCCTTTGGCTCAGGTCATGATCCCAGGGTCCTGGGATTGAGCCCTGCATTGGGCTCCTTGCTCAGCCTGCTTCTCCCTCTGCCACTCCCCCACGCCCCCCGTGCTCTCTCTCTTTCTCTCTCTGTCAAATAAGTAAATAAAATCTTAAAAAAAAACTCCATCTAAGAAATAAAGACAATGTGATGAAGAACTTTTTTTTTTCCCACTCAGATGAATTTTTTTAACATGTCAGTGATTTGATTAGAAAATAGCTTCACTTTGTACACATCTCTATAATTTACCTCCGGGCATTCAAATAATCTGGAAAAATTGTACTTTATAATGAGAATGAATAAATGTTTTATCTTAAAAATTTAGCTTTCAACAAATGTGCCCTATTTGACAAAAGTAAGTAAAAACTTCATTTTTTAAGTGTCTACACCAGCACTTATGAGTGTGTGTGTGTTTGTGTATAATGCTTCTGAAAATAATAACCATATTGTGATGTTATCTTTTAAGGATCTAAATGCATCCATCACACTGAATGGTATAACCCTACCCTCTTCTGTTTCTATAAGAAGAGGTTCATTTCATACCACAATGAACATCCTCACCATCTGTCAGACACTGGTCAAGAAATACTAGGCCTCAGTTCATGCAGCTAGTCAATGTCAGAACCAAGTCTAAAGTCAGAGATGAAGATGGTTCCACCTCCACAGAACACTCACATGCTAGTGAAAGTACATCAGCTTTCTGGGGTGGACATCTTTTTGTTGATTTCATGTATCTGTGGCTTAGGGAATGTTACTTACAGATTGTAGCCTCAGTCTCTCAAGGCCTTTAGATGAAGCTATTTTAATCACCTTTACCTTTCTTTACCTTTCATCTTCTGAAGGCTTCATTTCTATTTTTGGTTGAACTCCTTAAGTGTCATGAAATAGAAGAAATAGTAAATTAACTACGTCTGGAGAAAGCTTACTGTTGAGGGAATATGATTTAATCCATATTCTCTTTAGAGCCATGATCCCACCCTTTAAAAAGTCACTGTTCTTTTTAACTCACTCTCTTGTTCCCTATGTATTCCAAGTGGACAAACCACAACAAAATGTTCCACTGTGGTAGGCACTTCAACTCAATTGAATGGCTATCTACACTATATTGGTGAGAGTATGTGTTTGTGTTTAGAAACTATCAGCTCTGGAGAGGCTGATACAAGCAAGGTAATTGTAGTTAAAATCCATACAGAAACTTGAGTTCTGTTTTTCTTTTTTCATCGAGTTTGTTGGTTTACCTCTGAAGCATAAGTCTTTGGACAGGCTTCTTATGCTCCCCCATCTTCATTTTCTCATTAGTAAAGTGAGGAGGCTGCTACCGGTATTTGGGATTCTTACCAGCTTTGAAACATGAATCTTTGATTCTATAATCATAGATCATGACTCTCCTAGATTGTAAACTCTTTTCCATATACCAGTGTCTAACCTCATCTACCAGATGAAGTCATTAAAAAATGAACAAAAAGGAAGAAGCATCATTTCTGAGTGGCTTTTTACTGAAGAGGTGTACCCTTTGAAAAGTTAACTTGGAACCCAATTTGATTTCTTCTTGAATCTCATGGAATTTTCCTCATAGAGGGAATATGGTTATGTTGGTCTCAGTCTCTGATTCCATCTGTGCATCCAAGCCTCTTTCCCTATGTGATATGAATAGAAACATGCTAACTGGTTTGCCAGACACACCGTCTCTTTGGTTCTCTGTCCAATCTCCCATTCCTTTTCTCACTAATTTGCTTTCTGTGGTACTGCAGAGTTATGCTTCATTTTGGGTATTTGCAAACTGCATAGTAAGTCCATATGTATATCAAATATGTGGGTGGATTGTTAAGTGCAAAATGAAGAACTTCCTCAATCTTTTTAATTTTCTCATTTGTGGTTCCTAATTATTGTACCGTTGGAGGGTGGTCTTAAATCGTGGTACAAGTATTAACAAAAGTTAAGACATGAGCCTTCTCCATTTGGCCAGTAGGTGGGAGTATTTCACAGGGAATTAGCAAACTGCAGGGTTTTTTTTGTTTTGTTTTGTTTTAGAAGATGGAGGACCCTTCTGGAAGAGAACTAAAAAGGAGAAAACAAAAACAGAAAGTTAAGAACGAAGAGAGGGACACCCAATCATATAAAATACAGGGCTTGTAAACAGTCTCACCAAAAACCCATTTTCTGTTCAGGCTCTCTCTGTTTATCCTCTGACTCTGCCCCTTTTGATAGAATACAAGGATGAATTAAACTGTTGATAACTCTGGAGTTGTGTTTTTTTTTTTTTTTTCCCTTTTCTTTCGTTCATTTCTTTTCTTTTTCTTTCTTTCTTTCTTTTTTTTTTTTTTTTAGTATAATCTCTATGGATCCTTGAGAGTCCTAAAAAACCTTTTCAGGAGAAGGAATAATGCAATCAGTCTCTTCAGAAATCAGGCCAGCTGAACACCAAGCTGGTGATTTCATCAGAATGCTTAATGCCCACCAGCAGAAGTGGTGTGAGAGCAACGCAAGTGTAGGCTCACTGTTGGCAGCTTCGCCAGCGACTCTGGCCAGGGTCTCAATGCAGTTATCATTATGTCATCCCTTTGCCCATCTTCTCTACTGCTACCGTTTGGAATTATTTGTCTACCATTGAAAAGATTAAGGCAAATCACCAAACATTGTCCCAGCAGCTGGTTGCTGTATGAGTGTGTTTTAACAGTCACAATTTCAATGAACTACATGTTCGTTTGAGTCTCTGGGCAGTTGTATTCAACTTGAAGATTAGGTTGAAAAACGGAGCTGTCACCAATGTCATAGGAGATGAATGCCATCGCTTCTGTATCAGCTTCTGTTGCACGTTCACCCAGACACTACTCTCCAAACCCCCACTGTGCCCTTGCAAGCTTTGGAAGGAGATGAAATGATGGACTGGCCTCCTGCTCTGTCTTTGGTTTGAGGATAGCCCAGCAGTTTTCCAATTATTCTCAGGAGAGAAACCAAAACCCTATAGATACAAAATAACTTTCTAAAACACAAAGTTATTTTAATCTACATATTTTAAAGAAAATCCCAACAAATGATATAAGGTGCATACACAAGGCAAATGAAGTTCTTTGAAACTAGTTAACATCTAAGACACAGCTTTGCATATTCACTAGCTCTATTATTTCTCCCAGCAAAGGATAAATTTGCCCTCTTTATTGGCATTTCTGACTTTCTTCATCAGTATTGTGATTTTAATTGCATTTATCCAAAAACTGCCTTTGTAAGCAGTGCCCTTGATACAGTGTGAAAGTAACTGTTGCATTAATATATTTATTTTCTTTTTTCAAGATGTCCTTGAAGTAAGGGTCTTTTGGAATATAATATGCAAACAGAATGTAGATAAGCACTGACGCAAAAGAATTACTGAGCATTAAATCTGTTTATCCTAAGTCCTACTCATTTCTTTTAATTCTTTTTTTTATTATTATGTTATGTTAATCATGATACATTACATCATTAGTTTTTGATGTAGTGTTCCATGATTCATTGTTGGCGTATAACACCCGGTGCTCCATTCAGTACATGCCCTCTTTAATACCCATCACCAGGCTAACCCATCCCACCACCCTCCTCCCCTCTAGAACCCTCAGTTTGTTTCTCAGAGTACACAGTCTCTCATGGTTCATCTCCCCCTCCGATTTTCCCCCCTTCATTCTTCCCTTCCTGCTATTTTCTTTTTTTTAACATTCAATGTATTATTTGTTTGAGAGGTACAGGTCTGTGATTCAACCGTCTTACACAATTCACAGTCTCACCATAGCAGATACCCTCCCCAGTGTCTATCACCCAGCCACCCCATCCCTCCCACCCCCCACCACTCCAGCAACCCTCAGTTTGTTTCATGAGATTAAGAATTCCTCATATCAGTGAGATCATATGATACATGTCTTTCTCTGATTGACTTATTTCGCTCAGCATAATACCCTCCAGATCCATCCATGTCATTGCAAATGGCAAGATTTCATTCCTTTTGATGGGTGCGTAATATTCCATTGTATATATATACCACCTCTTCTTTATTCATTCATCTGTCAATGGACATCTTAGCTCTTTCCACAGTTTGGCTATTGTGGACATTGCTGCTATAAACATTGGGGTGCATGTACCCCTTCGGATCCCTACATTTATATCTTTGGGGTAAATACCCAGTAGTGCAATTGCTGGATTGTATGGTAGCTCTATTTTCAACTTTTTGAGGAACCTCCATACTGTTTTCCAGAGTGGCTGCACCAGCTTGCATTCCCACCAAAAGTGTAGGAGGGTTCCCCTTTCTCCGCATCCGCGCCAACATCTGTCATTTCCTGACTTGTTAATTTTAGCCATTCTGACTGGTGTGAGGTGGTATCTCATTGAGGTTTTGATTTGGATTTCCCTGATGCTGAACAACGTTGAGCACTTTTTCATGTGTCTGTTGGCCATTTGGATGTCTTCTTTGGAAAAATGTCTGTTCATGTCTTCTGCCCATTTCTTGATTGGATTCTTTGCTCTTTGGGTGTTGAGTTTGAAAAGTTCTTTATAGATTTTGGATACTAGCCCTTTATCTGATATGACATTTGCAAATATCTTCTCCCATTCTTTTGGTTGTCTTTTGGTTTTGTTGACTGTTTCTTTTGCTGTGCGAAAGCTTTTTATCTTGATGAAGTCCCAATAGTTCATTTTTGCCCTTGCTTTCCTTGCCTTTGGTGATGTTTCTAGGAAGAAGTTGCTGCGGCTGAGGTCGAAGATGTTGCTGCCTGTGTTCTCCTTTAGAATTTTGATGGACTCCTGTCTCACATTGAGGTCTTTCAACCATTTGGAGTCTATTTTTGTGTGTGGTGTAAGGAAGTGGTCCAGTTTCATTCTTCTGCATGTGGCTGGCCAATTTTCCCAACACCATTTGTTGAAGAGACTGTCTTTTTTCCATTGGACATTCTTTCCTGCTTTGTCAAAGATTAGTTGACCATAGAGTTGAGGGTCCATATCTGGGCTCTCTATTCTGTTCCATTGATCTCTGTGTCTGTTTTGTGCCAGTACCATGCTGTCTTGATGATGACAGCTTTGTAATAGAGCTGGAAGTCCGGAACTGTCTTGATGATGACAGCTTTGTAATAGAGCTGGAAGTCTGGAAGTCTGGATGCCGCCAGCTTTGCTTTTCTTTTTCAGCATTCCTCTGGCTATGTGGGGTCTTTTCTGGTTCCATACAAATTTTAGGATTATTTGTTCCATTTCTTTGAAAGAAGTGGATGGTATTTTGATGGGGATTGCATTGAATGTGTAGATTGCTCTAGGTAGCATTGACATCTTCACAATATTTGTTCTTCCAATCCATGAGCATGGAATGTTTTTCCAATTCTTTGTGTCTTCCTCAATTCCTTTCCTGAGTATTTTATTGTTTTCTGAGTACAGATCCTTCGCCTCTTCGGTTAGATTTATTCCTAGGTATCTTAAGGTTTTGGGTGCAATTGTAAATGGTATTGACTCCTTAATTTCTCTTTCTTCTGTCTTGTTGTTGGTGTATAGGAATGCCACTGATTTCTGTGCATTGATTTTATATCCTGCCACTTGACTGAATTCCTGTATGAGTTCTAGCAGTTTTGGGGTGGAGTCTTTTGGTTTTCCACATAAAGTATCATATCAGCTGCAAAGAGTGAGAGTTTGACTTCTTCTTTGCCGATTTGGATGCCTTTTATTTCTTTTTGTTGTCTGATTGCTGTGGCTAGGACTTCTAATACTATGTTGAATAGCAGTGGTGATAGTGGACATCCCTGCCGCGTTCCTGACCTTAGGGGCAAAGCTCTCAGTTTTTCCCCATTGAGAATGATATTCGCTGTAGGTTTTTCATAGATGGCTTTTATGATATTGAGGTATGTACCCTCTATGCCTATACTCTGAAGAGTTTTGATCAAGAAAGGATGCTGTACTTTGTCAAATGCTTTTTCTGCATCTATTGAGAGGATCATATGATTCTTGTTCTTTCTTTTGTTGATGTATTGTATCATGTTGATTGATTTGCGGATGTTGAACCCACCTTGCAGCCCAGGGATAAATCCCACTTGGTCATGGTGAATAATCCTTTTAATGTACATTGGATCCTATTGGCTAGAATTTTGGTGAGATTTTTGCATCCATGTTCATCAGGGATATTGGTCTGTAATTCTCCTTTTTGATGGGGTCTTTGTCTAGTTTTGGGATCAAGGTAATCCTGGCCTCATAAAATGAGTTTGGAAGTTGTCCTTCCATTTCTATTTTTTGGAACAGTTTCAGAAGAATAGGTATTAATTGTTATTGAAATGTTTGGTAGAATTCCCCTGGGAAGCCATCTTGCCCTGGGCTTTTGTTTCGTGGGAGATTTTTGATGACTGCTTCAATTTCCTTAGTGGTTATAGGTCTGTTCAGGTTTTCTATTTCTCCCTGGATCAGTTTTGGTAGTTGATGCATCTCTAGGAATGCATCCATTTCTTCCAGGTTATCTTTTTGCTGGCATAGAGTTGCTCATAATATGTTCTTATAATTGTTTGTATTTCTTTGGTGTTGGTTGTGATCTCTCCTCTTTCATTCATGATTTTGTTTATTTGGTTCTTTTCTCTTTTCTTTTTGATAAGTCTGGCCAGGGGTTTATCAATCTTGTTAATTCTTTCAAAGAACCAGCTCCTAGTTTCGTTGATCTGTTCTACTGTTCTTTTGGTTTCTATTTCATTGATTTCTGCTCTGATCTTTATGATTTCTCTTCTCCTGCTGGGTTTAGGCTTTATTTACTGTTCTTTCTCCAGCTCCTTTAGGTGTAGGGTTAGGTTGTGTACTTGAGACCTTTCTTGTTTCTTGAGAAAGGCTTGTATTGCTATATACTTTCCTCTTAGGACTGCCTTTGCTGCCTCCCAAAGATCTTGAATAGGTGTGTTTTCATTTTCATTGGTTTCCATGAATTTTTTAAATTCTTCTTTAATTTCCTGGTTGACCCATTCATTCTTTAGTAGGATCCTCTTTAGCCTCCATGTATTTGAGTTCTTTCTGACTTTCCTCTTGTGATTGAGTTCTAGTTTCAGAGCATTGTGGTATGAAAATAGGCAGGGAATGATCCCAATCTTTTGGTACCGGTTGAACCTGATTTATGACCTAGGATGTGATCGATTTTGGGGAATGTTCTATGGGCACTAGAGAAGAGTGTGTATTCTGTTGCTTTGGGATGGAATGTTCTGAATATGTCTGTGAAGTCCATTTGGTCCAGTGTGTCGTTTAAAGTCTTTATTTCCTTGTTGATCTTTTGCTTAGATGAACTGTCCATTTCAGTGAGGGGGGTGTTAAAGTCCCCCACTATTATTGTATTGTTGTCAATGTGTTTCTTTGCTTTTGTTATTAATTGCCTTATATAATTGGCTGCTCCCATGTTAGGGGCATAGATATTTACAATTGTTAGATCTTGTTGGATAGACGCTTTAAGTAGGATATAATGTCCATCCTCATCTCTTATTACAGTCTTTGCTTTAAAATCTAATTTGTCTGATATAAGGATTGCCACCCCAGCTTTCTTTTGGTGTCCATTAGCATGGTAAATGCTTTTCCACACCCTCACTTTCAATCTGTGGATGTCTTTGGGTCTAAAATGAGTCTCTTGCAGACCGCATATTGATGGGTCTTGTTTTTTAATCCAATCTGATAGCCTGTGTCTTTTGATTGGGGCATTTAGCCCATTTACATTCAGGGTAACTATTGAAAGATAGGAATTTAGTGCCATTGTATTGCCTATAAGGTGACTGTTACTGTATATTGTCTGTGTTCCTTTCTGGTCTATGTTGCTTTTAGGGTCTCT